TCCTGGGCCTGTGAGTAAGCACATGGGTGTCATGTTGCTTTAGCATGTTTTGTGCTCCACGCAGTTCCAGTTTAGCTCCTCACAGTGAATAGCTTCCTGCTTGGTGTTGGAGATTGCAATGCAGGTCACAGAACAGGTAGAGTCGAGCTAGCTACCTTACCAGTTCAAAATTGCCGCAGAGCAGCTTCATAGGCATTGGGACCCTGAGCTAGGATCAAACCCTTCTGTGGACTCTCTGGATAAAAGGATCATGTAAATCATAACTAGACACATAAAATTCACCTATCTTTATCACCGTAGAATTTTGAGGCTATGACACCTTTTCAATATTCCTGAGGAGTGGGGCATTAAACACTCTTTTGAAGAGGTAATATTGTTGTTGGAAGCAGCCACAACATGTTTCAGAGATTTCCTGTTCATTGACATTTAGTGTATCTTGCAGCTTTCCTTATTTTGGGCTGGCATTTAGGAACCATCCAATCCAATTGTTGTCCCTTCTCTCTATCTTTATCCTTGCTAGCTCCAACACTAGCCCTCTGAATGCATTCTGATGCCGGATAGAAGCATGTAAGGTAGTAGCTTTTGAATAGAAAGCTCTCAACATGCTGCTCTGCTCACACTGTATGTATTTTTCCACAGAAACCCTGTATCACCATGGTGCGTGCCTGTGGTCTGCTCACTCACCAAAATCAACCAGGCAAGCCTGCTTCTTGACTCTTGCTTGCTACTGTAGCTTTGGCACCTAGCACAATTCCTGGCCTGCATGGGGAACTCTATTAAAGCTTGTTGAATTCTTGAACCCTGATCTCTCTCCAGTTGCACTGAAGAACATCTCTGTGACTGTGTCCATCCGTGAGTTTGTAGCTGGTGTGTCTGCAACCTTACACTATGAGAATGAGGAAAAGGTCGCTTTAGAGGCCTTCTTTGTGTTCCCCATGGATGAAGATTCTGCTGTCTATACCTTTGAGGCCTTGGTGGATGGGAAGAAAATTGTGGCAGAGTTACAGGACAAGATGACGGTACTAGAGATAAATATAGTGTCTCTTCATTCTTTCCTTAGAATACACATTTTAGGCTCTCTACTAAATGAAACCTCACAAAATGCTGCTGTTGAATGGTCTTTCTTCCACTTCTTTATCATTGTTATTTTCCTAAAATCATTCAGTGTTGGTGGGGGATCTGTTAAAGCCATTCAAAATATAGCTGTGTATGTGACAAGACCCATCACAGCCCCTCCCTCCCCAGTGGTCTGTTTTCTGTAGTGTTCATCTCTTCTTTTGATGTTACCTTTCCTTCCGATTGGTATTTTTCTGTAGGCCCACACCAACTATGAGGATGCCATCTCTCAGGGATACCAGGCTTATCTACTGGAAGAGGACAAGTGCTCCAGGGATGTCTTCTGTTGCAATGTAGGCAACCTCCAACCTGGGTCAAAGGTGGCACTCACCCTGAGGTACGTGCAGGAGCTGCCCCTGGAAGCAGATGGGGCCCTGCGCTACGTGCTCCCGGCTATCCTGAATCCTAGGTACCATCTTTCTGGTGAGTACCTCTTTTTTGAATACTGAGTGGTGGCATAATTGGAGAAATTTCATTAAGTTTATGGATGTGTTGAAAAGTGTTGGTAAGGAAAGTAGAATTAGGGCGATTTTTGTAGGAGTGACCGAGGACAGTTGCCTTGATATGAAGGCTCCTGTAGTGCCTTTGGAGAACCTGCCCTACACACTTACCATGGTCGCCTCCATCAGTTCTCAGCATGGAATTGACAGGGTCCAGTCCAACTGCCCCTTGAGTCCTGTGGAGTATCTTGAAGGTGATAAGACTTCTGCGCAGGTAATTAATGAGACATTACTGTTGTTACCAGTGCTCTCGTTGAGTGGGTTTTGATGTGGTCCTCATCCAACCGTTCCATCTACTCCTTGTCACCATTAACCCTGAGGGAGGTGCACTGTGTTCTTTTGTTATCCCTCTCAGGCTCTGTTTTCATCCCTGCTCGTGAGCATTCTCGTTGCGGAAAGAAACTTGTAGCCCTCAGTTCTGACCTCAGCCCCAGGAATCAAAGAATGGTGTTTCTAATGTGGCTCTTTTGCTGGTTCCCAATCAGGTTTCCTTGGCTGAAGGACACAAGTTTGATAGGGACGTGGAACTTCTGATTTACTACAGTGCGGTGCACAGCCCCAGTGTCACTGTCGAGATGGCAATGCCTGAAAGGAAACCAGGTATTTTCTCTCTCCCTATGTAGTCACTTCCTAGGAGGTAACTCTGTCATGGAATCATCTTCAAATTATTCTCCATTTCTCCCCCTCTTTCAGTAACAGGTAAAACATATGAATGTGAAATATTTAAAAACGTGTTTCCAAGAGCATGCAAAAATGGTTAAATTAATGTCATACTGTTATGTCTTACAGGCAAATTGAAGTAGATTAATTAATAATTGGGAAAAGAAAATGAACAGATTATTGACAAGAAAATAGTCATAAACATGTGACAGTGATTGTCTTTACAGAAAAGCAAATAAAATGTAATGGTGACTTTTTTTAACCTTTCAAGCTATGAAAGATTTTCAAATCTGTTAATGCCTTTTGACTTAGAAGTTGTGGCAGATTTGGCACTCTCAGATTGCTTGAAGCAAAATAATTTGATGTCACACTTTGCAAAAAATTTTAGTTATGTATGTCCAAAGTAAAACTCTTTTCAGTAATTCCAATTTTTAGAATATCCTTAGAAAATAAATATAAATATAAATAGACGTATGCAGTGAAATATGCTATTTTAATAATATCAAATATTAGTAAACAATTAAGATGCTTTACTGTGATTAAATTCAGTATGCCATCAATAACTTAATGAATTATACATGTACTAAAATAATATATATTAAAAGATTGAAGTAACTTGAGGAAAAGGCCTCCAAGAATGGGAAATTAGAGAAAACTAATCTATACAGATTTCTCCTATAAACCTAATGCATGAATTAGGAAAAATATACACAGGAAGTATGCATCTAGTAATTACAATTAGATGAAAACAAATTTTGATTCTTAGTTCTTTTCAAGCATGTAGAGGAATTACGGTTGAGAGATTTTGTTTAGAAACAAGAAAGCTGAAATTTATGTGTGTGAGTGAAGTGAAGATAATTTGAATTAGACTTAGCAAGTTGAAACAGTGCTTACTCTGTATATGGTATTGTTCCAAATGGCTTACAGTGGACCCTCAAGTTATGACAGCCTGACATATGAACAACTTGGGTTAGTCAGGTTAAAGAATTTATTTCTGCCTCTTGTTATCTATAGCATGTGCCCATGTAAACAACCAGATCTCAGCTGTATCAATTTACAGTCAACTTGAGTTACAACCAGCCCTCAGCAACTGATTGAGTTCTTCAGTCAAGGGTCCACTGTATGCATTAATTCATATAATCCTCGCGGCAGCTTTCCAGATTGCTCATTACAGTGCTAGACCCTTTATAGGCATCTGTCTCAGCATGGAAATGATTTTATTTAACTGACCAGAAATGCTGCTTTTTCACTGTATATCCATATGTCTGGATTTTGTAAATATTCTTTTTCAATATAGTGTATCATATATTTCCTGGATGAGACCCACCTAAATAGACTGTTCATCTGTTGTGGCATCCTATGGATAAGAGGTGAAATTGAGCCCTATCCTGTATCCTTACTGAGTCTTAGGCTTACTGTGAACTTAAACCAGGAGTCACTCTCTAAAAGTAGGATAATAGGATGTGATTATGTGTCCTCTCATATTCTCTGAACTTTAACACTAGAGTTCATATAATCCAGCCATTCTCATTTTAGTTCTTTCTTGACACTAGCTTCTCAATTCTAGTATCAATTTTCACTTGCTGCACAAAATGAGATCACAGATACGGCTTTGACAACTTATCCAGGTAGAGTAGTCTCCCATGGACTCCCCCACCCCATTGTTTGAATGAGATTATTGGGATTCAACACATATCCGAGGGCTTCCCTTTCTTCTAGGGAGTATATGCTGGGGCTGCATATCCAAAACAGATGTAGTTAATTATATTACATGTATAATGCTTATAAATATCCCTGTGATTTGTCAGCCTAAAAATTATGCACATGAACATTTCCTTCAAAGTTGCAAATGAAGCAGATACTGGTGATATGGTGGTGAGCATAGCGGCCTTCCAAAGTTGCTAATTAAAGATTTAAACAGTGATAAACTGTCTCTTGATTTGATCTGCTTCTTTGGGAAAATGCTGGAGATATTTACTTAATGTGTCTCATTTACTTACTGATCTGCCAGGAAATTGGCATCCGTTGGCACTGCTGTAATTATTGTTTGGGCCTGGTAACTTCTACCATCCTACTTTATTTCATATCTGTTCTTCTTTTGTCTCTATTATATGCTTATAATTCACCTAAAGTTCTTTGCAAGCAGATAGTGCATAGATGTGAACAGCGTTTTGGATTTGAGTTTCTCTAGTTCCTTATTAAACTCACTAAGAATGATTCCTATAAACATAGGTATACATAAGGAAGACCCTGTAATATGATGGATTTAACTCTTTTGGGAAGATTTCTAGAAGGAGGATAGCTGGGTAAAAGGAAATTTCTGTTTTTAGTTTGTTGTGGAATCACCACACTCATTGCCATAGTGGTTGTACTAGTTTACAATCCCACAGTGTAAGAGAATTGCTTTTTCCCCACGTCCTCGTCAGCACTTATTAATAGATCTCTTTGATAATAGTCATTATTTCATGGGTAAATAAGATGGTATCTCAGTGTATTTTTAATTTGCATTTCTCTGATGGCTAGCAATAACAAGCATATTTTCATGCATTTATTGGCCATATGTACTTCTGAAAAGTGTCTATTCAGTTGCCCATTGTTTGCTTGGGCCTTTTACTTTGGGGAGTCTAATTTTTATGGTCTTTTATATATTCTTGATGTTAATCCTCTACGGAAGAATAGCTGGTGATTTTTTACCCCATTCTATAGACTGTCTCTTCATTCTGTTGGTTGTTTCCTTTGCTGTGCAGTTGCATTTTAATTTTATATGATTCTATTTGTTGCTTTTTGGTGTAACGGGCGGAGACAGCCAGAGAGTCTACAAGATTCAGGGACTGATTCTCCAGGCAATGCAGAAGGTTGTAGAAGAATCAGATAGAGTGAGAAAGCAGAGAAGCAAAGTTTGTACTTTTATTTAGCAGGCATGCAAGAGCACAGCTGCCTTCTCTCAGAGAGACAATCAGGGGTGCCCAAAACAAAGCCACTGTAGAAGGAGGGTTCCAGGTGTTACTTTATAGTAGTGGGGCCTATTCTGTCTCTGGGCTGAGGAGGCCCCTACTTGATTGGTCGATTAGCTCATTACTAGGGAGGATGGGGAGGGGTCTTTGGGGGCTTTTCACACTTCAGGGTCAGGTTTCCTTTTTGTTTTCTTTTAACTTTTGCAAACAAAGCTTTGCAGGGTACAGCTTAAAGAGGAAGTGCAACTGCAGGCTGTCAGCTCCTTGCAAGTAGTTAAGCCCATTCAACCATCTGTCTAAACTCCTTGAAGTGTGTGTGCGGTGTCCCTTGTCTTTCCTTACCTATGGGTCCCTGTCCATACATCGGTATTATTTCTTGTGCCATTGTGTTCTGTTCAGAAAGTCCTTGCCTATGCCTCTATCTTCAAGATTTGTACTTATTTTATCTTCCAGAAGATTGTTTCTGTTTTATCATGTAGATCCTTGATCCATTTTGGTTTTAGTTTAGTGCATAGTAAAATATATGAGTCTAGACTCAAAGTTCTGCATATCCAATTTTCACAGCAATATCTATTAAAGAAACTGTCTTTCTTCAAGTGTATGTTTTTGGCTTTTTTGTCAAAGATCAAACAGCTGTATGGCAGCATGGTTTATAATAGCTAGGTCTTGGAAAACAGCATATATGTCCACCAACAGATGAATTGATAAGGAAAATGTGGCATTTATACACAATAGAGTACTGGGCTGCCATAAAGAAAGAAAAACTTGAGGCATTGATAAGTAATGGATGCAACTTGAGAATATAATGTTAAGTGAAAAGTCAGACACACAAGCTCAAATATCACATGGTTTCTTTTGTATGATGAGCACATACAGAGCAAAACAGAAGAGACATGGTGCAGCCATCTCAGCACTGTGGCAGCAGCTTTCTGGGCCTCCAGCCAGGGATAGTCCAGTGCCAGCTGCTGCTGCCCGGGCTCTCATTTGTCTGCTCCTGGCAGCCCAGGACCCAGCTGCCCCACTACACTCGCCAAAACCCAAACACCAGTGTCCACAGCAGCAGCCACTACCTCGGGAGCCCATGAGGCTCCAGGTTGGTGGTGACAATTGGCCGGCCACGGTGCCCACTCCCAGAATGCAGTGCATGGCAGTCATTGAAGAGAGACCGTGATGGTGGCAACACTGGTGCCTGCAGAAGTAATCTCTCAGCTGGAGAACACCGCCAAAGTTTTGATGGCACCACCATCCATGGTCAAAAATGATCAATGAGAGCATGCAGAACACATATTATCATTTAGAAAATCAGAATTACCGTTTGCCGTGTGCATGTGTAGTTTGGTTCTTCACACTGTGGAAGTAACAGTTGAAGAGAGGTGAGGAAAGTTTGTGAAAATTGTGATCTGTGATGAACTGCCACCTGGCTGACATGTCTTCTCAGAGGAACTAACCTCTTTGTGGTACTAGAGCAAGTTCACTTGATTTTAAAAAGAAGATAAACTAGTAAAGTGGACTGTGTCCTTTTCCAAGCTGCCACCGCCATAATGGAGGCATCATCCAAAAGTGGATTCTTTTGGAAAAGGTAACATGAGTCCCTGTGAACATTCCTCTTAACCTATGTCTCACAGAGGCCCAATCTTCAAAATATGTTTGGGAACAGATTCTATTAGCAGTAACAGTAATTGTAAAAGAAAGATCAGTAGATAAATCAATTGACTGCAAAACCATTTTTCATGAAGTTAGCCAGTTGATAAGTAATAGCAATCCTACTATGTGGACACTAGCCTGTTCTATTCTAACTGCATTACTGAGTGAATTCTCAAGTTCCAAGTAAAACTAGAAACATTGGACTGAGGATGGGATTCCATGCAAAAGAGTTTTTCAGGAGGAAGATCTTCGACAGATCATCTTGACTGTTGAAGTTCTGCAGGAGTTCAGCAGGTGGTAAAACCTCAATGTGCAGATATCCTCAGTGTTTCAGCTTTACCTTGCACTGGCCAATCAAAACTTGAGCTGGAACTTTCTTCCTCCAAATTTGGGCAGACATTATATAGCTACGTTTGAACCCTCACAAAATGTGCTGTCAAAGCCAACAGAGTCCTGGACAGCAGAATTATGGAACTTTTCTTCACAATACATTGAAAATCAGAGAAGATTCAGACATGGCCCAAGATTCTCTGCCATGCCTTGCCCAGTTAGCATTTCTGCAGGGACCTGTCTTCTGTGATGAAGGATCACAAGTTGATTATTTAGCACATTTCCTTGAAGGATTACTGAATACTATCAATGGAATTGAAATAGAAGATTCTGAAGCTATGGGAATCTCCAGCAATATCAGCAATGTGACAACCATGTTCCCTTGAAACATTTTAACTGCCATTCCCAGTTAACTTTTCTCTTTTTTTTAACTGCTTCACACACTTCATTTGTTCTTTTGAGCTATGTGCTGCACCGGAAGAAGTGCTTCATAAAGATGACATGGTAAACACAAAGCATATGATAAGTGCACAGAGTCCTGGCTGACTTTTGTCCAAGATGATAAACATTTCTATAAATGCTTTTTCACTCAACATTCAGTTCAAGTTTTCAATTCCTATATCCAGTGCCACCTAGTTGCTCCAGATGGTGCGAGGAATTTGTTTGATGATGTTGTGGCCTCTCTTGAGGAACAAGAAATAAGTGAACTTCAAGAAGATAACCAAGACCAGTTTTCTGGTCCACTACCAGGGGAGAGACGCTAGGAAGAATCATTGCAGAACAATGTATGCCTACTCTGACAAGGACACACAGTCCAGAGAAACTCTGTGGAGCAAATATTCTCTATTCACAGTTCTCTGGGGAGCAGTCTTTAAAGACTTTAAACAACCCTGCCCCGTATCCCAGCACATTGGATCAAACGGACAGAAACATACTCATGATTTCATTCTTTGGCTTACACATTTAAGCCTAAACATACAACATAGATGGGAACATATGATAAATGATTATGGAAACATGATATGATAAATGGTTTGATCCATATCAGTAAAACTTGGAATAACCAGTTTAAACATAAATAGGAAGTAGAGGGAAGTTCAAATACTTCCTCGAATTATATATTCTGTAGTTTCAAAAATATTTTAATATATATGCTACTTTGTTTTGCTTATACTACTAGTTTAACTTAGTTCATTGAAAGGGAACTTTTGTGTTATTATCTGTTTCTTTTTGTAAAAATCTTTTTGGTTAATGCATTGTGTTATGAGTAATTATTCTGAAGATAGTGATACACAGTATATCAACTATTATTATTCTCTTATTATTTTTTATGAATTTTTTATTATCTAATAAAATAAAAGACTAAAATAATGCCTAGGAATACAGAAGAAGAAAAAAAGAATGATTCCTAGGAACTTTAAAATTCTTGAGTTCTTTTCATCTTACAGGGTCCTTATTCTTTCTGTGTAGATAGTTTGATGGGAGATCCAGCCGTCATGGTGAGTTTTTACCCAGATATTCCAGAAGCTGATGCATCAATGATCTGTGGGGAATTCGTCTTCCTCATGGACCGCTCAGGAAGCATGGGTACCCCTATGAATAAGCAGGACAGGTCTCAGCTGCGCATAGAGGCAGCCAAGGTAAAACTAGCTTCTTCCTTTCTTCATCACAAACTGAAGTGGGGGCTCATGTGAGTAGTTCTAGGAGGGTCTATTTGGAGCTGTAGCTCCGTGCTCCACCTGAGGGACAGCTAACACGACCACCATGCAGATTGTCTTGAAAGAGAAGGGGCATGAAATGAGTGATGGCCCAAACTCTAGAGTTAGACTGGTGGAGTCTGAGAGGGTCCTTTCACTGTGTCCCCTCCCCTCTTCTCTTACCTTCAGGAGACACTGATTTTGCTGTTGAAGAGTTTGTCGCTAGGCTGTTATTTCAACATTTATGGATTTGGATCTTCCTTTGAGTCATTCTTTCCGTAAGTCTAAGGAAAGGCCATAAAGAGTGGACATATATGAATATTGTTGAAAGTGTTACTAAGCATTGACGTGGGAACTGGTGATGGCAGGTAGGATTGTTATTTCCTCAATAGGGGCAGTATAGAGCTGCTCTCCTGTAACCAGATGTACTCCTTTCTCTCAGGGAGAGTGTGAAGTACACTCAGCAAACAATGGAGGAGGCAGTGGAGAGAGTTCAGCTCCTACAAGCAGACCTAGGGGGCACCGAAATCTTGACACCACTCCAGACAATTTTCAGGGGACCCTCCATCCCTGGTCACCCCCTACAGGTAAGAATCACAACAGAGCCAAAGAAAAGTGGACAAAGAAACAGGGACAAAGAAAGTGGAAACCACTCAAGAATCTCCGTCCCTATACTTCACTGGGAAGAGTGTGTGATTAAGAGTCTTCTGTCGTATGAGAAAGAGAAAATAAGACAAAAGATATTCTTTCTTAATTCCATGTGAGGGGCAGCACAAGTGCTTTTGTAGAGACTATAAAAGCCTCGTAGGAATCTAGTGTGGGGAGGGCCTGAATGTTCTTTGTGTTCTGAGCATCTGGAGGGAACGTGGTGAGGTGACATGGAACACCCGGGCTTTTGTCTGAAGAGATACCAGAGCATCTGAAATGAAACAGCTGGGATTCCAAGGGCAAATTCTGGTAACTTAGAATGAACTTGATAGAGGCTTGACGAATGTTGTCTTTCTCTGTACAGCTTTTTGTCTTCACTGATGGAGAAGTTGCTGATACATTTAGTGTAATTAAAGAAGTTAAATTCAACAGCAAGAAACACAGGTATGGCGAGAACATGATTTCTCCTGTGATGATTGGATCTTAGCAGTAACACTTGAAGTCTAGTACCAGTGATGACCTTGTTTGTAGAGAAGAGAAATATTGAAACTTTTTAGTTTTATTAGAGGACAATTTACTCTTCTCTACAATAGGTAAAAGTACTTTTCTAAACAATATCAATAACACAGCAAGCTCACTGTCGTTTAGTAAGTTTAAAAAAAATTATTATGACCATTGTTAACACAGGAAAACATAGAAAGCTATAAAAATCATAAATAATTATCCAGATGAACTATCACAGCAGGTTCACTGTGCAACTCTCACTTAAGTCCAGAGCTAGAATATTATCATACCTTTCCAGACTGGTAACTCCATACATCGTTTATGCCATTTCTAGTTCTTTGAATGAAAAGCTTATCAATTTTAATAATCTCTAAAGAATGATCTTTTTTTGGTTTATTCATTCTGTATCATTTATGGCTTTTAATTTTATTAACATCTACTCCTACCTTCTTCATTCCTTTCTTTTAATGTTCCTAGGTTTATTGGCTGATTTTTATCCAACATTATAATATAAATACTTAGGTAGTTGATCTTTGTACTTACTTTTTGTTTCCAATGTACTTTTACAACTGTATCTGTAGCTCAATCCTAATTTGGATATGTACTTCTTTATTGGCTTTGATCTGAGGATATTCCCTAGTTATTATTATGATTTTCTTTGTAAGTCTATGTTACTTGCCAATATATAATCTTATTTTCCAATGTTTGAAGATTTTCTGTTCTTTTTGGTAGTTTTCAGATATTTCATATGAATCATTATGAAGTCAAAGCAACATCTTCCTTCTGAGATGTCTTATTGTTTGTTTCTGGAAGGTTGCTGCAGTATGAGCTGGCAGTCATAGTGAAGTTCTGGCCCTGTGAACTTCAGTTATTGTGATGGCTGGCTTATTTCTAATTTACTTGATCTCTAGGCCCATAGTGTTCTATCTGAAAAAAATGAGGTGCCGGGACAACTTCCCATTTGAAAGACTCAAATTGTTACTTTTTCCCTCCGCCTCTGTGAAACACCTTAGATATTCACCCACCCATTTGTACTTGACACTTGCTGCAGAGCCTAAGTGGACCTCAGGAACCATACCCATTTCTCTTGGCTTCCCTCCTCTCCAAAGTCTCAGCTCACAGCTTCTTCTTATCATGGTGGCTCTTTGCTGTTTTTTAAAAAATATGAAAAATAGTATGTTTACATTTTATATGTTGGATTGAGATAACAGTCTAGTATTGCTTGGCAGCAGAACTCATTAAGATTCATGTAAGATGATAAAATGTAAAATTATGATATATTAAGAACTGTTATGTTTAAGGTTTAGCTCTTATGCTTGTCAAATGTTTGAAACAATCAACTGACCCTTCTGAGCCTTTGTTTTTTTTTTTGAAAATGATGATGCTAATAATATTTATTGTATAGACTTACTTTGGGAGTTAATAAAACTAAGTAAAGTATCAGGAATTGTGCTGGACACAAAATAAGTGCTAAATAAAATTTTAAAATTATTTTTATTATCATCTACCTCAAGTACTTTGAGGTTCTAATCATAAAGTTAGCCATCAACAGAATTTTTCAACTTTTTATATATATAAAAGGATTTTTAAAACCACATAAGCAAGTTGTAGCATAGGTTATAGTTCAAAGATCATGTCAGAAATTTGAAGATGCTGGTAGGCTGTGTTCTATAGGAAAAAATGACTGGTTAGGTCCCTACAGTTAGAAATCTGGTCCTTACCCCTATAAGTTTAGAATAACACAGTATAGCTTAGTTTAGTTTAACCCAATGTGGGAGTCCCTAGACTTGAGGTTGATTTCTCAAACCCATATCAAAAGAGACTGATACATAGGCCCAAATTCCATGCATTAAATTACATTGAAAAATTTTCTGACCTGCATTCGAAAAATGCTTGTACTGATTTCATCGATGCATTTTGTGTTTAAGACAATTGTATTTTGTAAATCAAATGATGATTTTATAAAGCTATTTTCATGCAAATGCAGTAGAGTCAAGTGAGAACTTTCCAGTTAGAAGGGCAGGAGGAACACTTCTCCTGTCTAGAAACAATCACTAGTGATAGTTTTTTGTCATTTGCTTGGTTTGCCAGAGGGAGTTTTGCAGTCAGTGAGACCATTGTCTCAGCTCTATGTCTACTGTTTATTAGGGGTGGGATCCATGACCACTTTCTGAAATTCATTTTGCAGCTCCTTTTAACTGAATGAAGCAGAAGTCTGTCTCATTGCACATTCATGATTTTATCATTGATTTCAGGCATTTACTATGGCTCATAAAATACACAGTATGCTTAAGAAAGAGCAGCTATTATGCTTTGGTCAAAGAAGCAAACAATTTCATCATGTTTGTTTGCCAATTCTGTGCTAATTTGATAATGTTCCTTTGAGAGCCTGTGTCTAACCTCCATCTTTTTACAATTACAGATGTTTCTCATTCGGTATTGGAGAAGGTGCTTCCACCAGCTTAATAAAAAGCATTGCTCGAGTATCAGGGGGCACTTCAGAGTTTATCACTGGCAAGGACAGGATGCAGTACAAGGTGAGGGTCAGGATTCAGTGGGTCAAGAGGTGGACAGTCCAAGCCCAGTATGAGACAGGATTAGGATGCTGTTACAAAGACAAAGGCAAAACTTGACTCCAGGATTCATTTCCCATGTACTCAGCCTGCAGTGGGGCTTTCCCCATTTTTCTATGTACTTTTGGAAAAGGGTCCCACTGTAGTACCTAGAGAATGATATCTGGCCCTAATAGCTGGAAATCTGGAACAGCAATGCTGAGAATGGCTGAGGGTTTTATATGTAAGAAGAGAGATGGAGATTTTAGATTTCATTTCTGAGCTTCGAGGTCTGCTCTTTAACATCTTTAGTGTTACAGTCAATGCCTTATGCAGAGGATACAAGGCAACAGACCAGAAATGAGTGTGATGTGTCTACTAGGTTTGATGGGATGGCAAATTCCTATTTCATCTTATTAGTAGGCACAAATAAAGCACATCTTGAATTGTATTTCTGAACTCCTCTTTTTCAATTGGTAACAACTCTTACCTAGTTTTTTCTCCAGTTATCTCCTTTCTCTAACATTTCCTTTATTCTCACTTGTGCCATTAAACCTCTCAGCTTCAACTTTTCTTTTTGCAAAGCAAGAGAAATAATGCTCATTTCCCAGTATACAGTTAAGGATTAGGTATAATGTGTATCAGATCACATAGCAGTTGGTAGATAATAAATACGCAGGTACAGGTGACAGTCGCTATGGTTGTCATTCTGAGATGTTGCTGCTCATTCTGTTTTCTTCCATCAGGTTCTTAGGACCCTGAAGCGTTCTCTCCAGTCTGTGGTGGAAGACGTCTCCCTGAGCTGGTATCTGCCACCTAACCTGACTGCTAACATGCTTTCACCAGAGCAGACTGTCATTTTCAGGGGTCCGAGGTTAATTTTCTATGCCCAACTGACTGGGGTGGTGCCGGTGAGTCCCCACTCTTCTTTGTTCTTTCCTTAGAGAAACCAGTGCTGGGGTAATTTCACTAATTCCGGAAGCTGGATTTGGATTTCAGCAAGAGGTTGTACTTTCCAGCCTTCCATCTTCCTCATTATTTCAGGGCCGACTGATTTCTAGTTAGAAATTGTATGAATGAAATGGATGCATATTGAAGATATACTTTTAAGTGAAATAAATAAGTCACATGTGTAAATACTGAATAGTTTCTCTGGTGTGAAAAACTATAAAGGTACATAAGGTCCTAATGATACAATTGACAATGTGAAATAGGAAGAAAAGGGCTAAAAGTGTAGGGGAAATGGGAAGGGTAGGCGAGAGGTACTAAGGGAAAAGGAAAAAAAAACATGGGAAAAGAAAAAAAAAACATGAGAAAATGAAAAAATGGAAATAAAGTATTTATAAATAGGGAAGGGAGGAAGGGTGAAGGGAGGGCAGGGATAAGGGGAAAAAATGAGAACCAAGACTTCTCATGTAAAGGCACAAGATCCCAGTGATGAATGTAACTGTACTGTATACCTAAAATGTACCAATAAACTCAATGAGAAAAAAAAAAAAACAACTAAAAACCCAAACAAAACCAAAAAAAGAAATTGTATGAGTGAAGTTAGAGAGCTGCCTTAGTTGTGACCTTTTTTGCTGGATATCTCTCCTTTCCATCATGTTTGCCTTTCTTTGATTTACAGCCAGAGGAAACTACAGGGGAAGTGGGCCTCAAGTATACATTCCAGGACAAAAATATTGAGCAGAAGGTGACATTTTCTCTACAACCCAAATATGACTCCAAGTGAGCATTCAATTATTCTCCTTTCTTAATCTCTTTTATTTCCTCTTTTCTCTGCTATCCTCTTTTCTTTTTCTTTTTTGGATTCTTTTCTTGATTCTGAAAAAAAAAGATGTTTGCCTAAATTGTTTTTCCTTTCTAAATCCCTCAAGTCTTATTTCCTCATTCTCTGAAATTTCGTTCCTCCTGCTATGCCTGATTTCTGAGAACCCCAAGCAATTGTTACGTGGGTGAATTATGCTAAGTCCTAGACTGTTTTTTTTTTCCAGCCTCACTATTCATCGCTTGGCTGCAAAATCCTTGATCCAGACAAAAGATATGGGTTTCAGAGAGACATCAGCCAGAGAAAGAAAAGATGTGTTGAACATCAGCATGGAATCTGGAGTCATGAGTTCCTTCACAGCTTTTATTGCTATAAACAAAGAGCTCAACCAGCCAGTTCAGGGGCCCCTGGTGCACAGGGAGATTCCAAGGCCTATTTTGTCTGCATTGCCAACAATTTCTTTTCATAGCTGTGAGTTTTATCACATTCAAATACCTATAGAATAAGTAGTTCTGAGTCTGTGAGCACATTGTTTAAATGAAAAGACTGGAAAGATTTTAATTTGCTTCGTTTTATTGTTCTACATTTATAATTTCTAGTTATTTTTTTAACATTTGTGTGTTTCATTGGCAGGAAAATTAAAAGTGGTCAGGGAATAAGGGAATATTAATATGTAGAGAATATATATAAACATTGAATAATCAAATAGTTCAAATCTGAAGTTTGTTTTCTTAATGACTGTGTGGTTAAGGATCACACAGGTGGCTGATAACTGGAAGGGGCCTGAGCTTGGAACAGTAGAAGACAGAATTTGAGGAAAATGGGGAAGATTTCAAAGAGACACTCAGGTTACCCAGAAAGTAGAACACCCAGAGGGAAACAGACATTTGTCAAGGAACACTAAGGGTCCATCTGAATCTCAGTACCTGAACTTTTTCTTTTACTGGCAAGAAAGTACTATAAACACGATTATGGTTTGTTTCATTTATTTCAACAGTACTCTGCACCTTTGACCTAAGGATGTTGTTTTAATTTCAAAGTTAGGATTTTACTAAATTGGTATGATAAAAAAATTAAAATATGGAATTGAAGAAATCAGTCAAAAGATGGTAAAGTTTTAAACTTGACATTTAAGTTAAATGAAGAGGAAAAGACGTAAATAAATTGATACATAGAAAAAAAGAGGGATTAAGGATATAAGTGGTGCAGATGAGGTTAAAAAAAATCAAGTAAATAGGAATGTCAGAACACTGGGGAAATTAGATACTATATTTTAAAAGTCAGATTTTAAAATTTTAATTTTTATATGTGGAACAATTGTGCATGATAGGAAGATTGTCTTTATAAGAACGGTGTGTCTGAAGGAGAATAATGCTTGTCACTGAGTTTGAGAAAATAAAGAAGCTTTGCAATAGGATGGTAAGAAAGCTGAACCCTCTCACAATGATGGCAGATCTTGTATTGGAGCAAAAAATCTAAGGCTTGGCCTTCAGTGAATGGTTGTAAATGTCAGAGAGTTGGGATGGACAGTAGCGAGGAGTGAGTAAAGTAACCAAGGAGATAATGATATGGGATTGAGCAGGTTACCAGCTTGACCTCCCTACCTTCGGAAGACAGCATGCAGAATACTGAGCAATAACTTTTTGAAAAGGCTAGAGGAGAAACATTTTTTGAGAGGATAAATTCATTTTAATTTAGTTGGAAGGAGCCTATTAGATTCTGAAAAAATGTTTATCATGTATAAGATATTTTAAAGGATACAATGGAAAGTTGAAAAGGGGCACAGAGAGGGAGGATGTGTTCAGAAAGCGGATTTGCGAGAGAATTTTGTATTAATGGTGGTGCCTGAAGAGCTGATATAGATGGGAGGCTGTATCTCAAATCATCAGGCTTTAGTAACTTTGCCTATTGAAGAGAACAGGTTGTCTTATTCTCAGTGTGTATATTGTTGTTTTTCAGCTCCTGAAAGAAGGTGCCTCTCTGCTTCACCTAGGACCCTTAAACTATGTGGGACTATGGCATTCTCAAAGAAGAGTCAGCTTCTTGGTAGGTCTCCAAGTCACATGGCCCTTACAGTCTAATTTCTAGGAATATTTTCTCACCAGTTCTTGTCTGCCACACATAGATCAAGTTGTACAGCAAAGTTCTAGTAATGGCCAGAAGATTAAATGTAAGCGTAACCTGGAGTCCATCCATCCCATGAAAAAGACTCATTCTTCAACGTGTGAAAACAATTTGCAAAGTAACTGTAAAGGTGAGATGAGCCTCAGTTTATTATTTATCTACAGGGGCTGAAGGACAAATCTTCATTGCTCTGCTGTCTTGTAGCCTTTTCAACGTAGGGGGCATTTCTTTGAAAGGAAGCAGGCAGAGATGAGATTTGTCCCATCCTTATATTTCACAGAGTTAACTAAGCTACATTAGTACCCAGTACAGGAACTTGAATTTTTCTACACCACTAGGGTCTGGGGTGTCCTCTAATTATACAAAGTCCTTTGTCCATCTCTATCTGCAGAGTTTACCTGCAGGCAGGCCAGGCACCTGCATAACTCTACTGCTATCCTGCTTGGGCCCCTGTTCTTCTAATCCTTTTTTTTTTTCCCAAAAAGTTGAGCTTGTTGGAAAATCTGGATGCTGTCTGATGATGCTCTTGATAACACCTGTAAATTCAACAACTTATTTCAGGGGTGCTAATGGGTCACAGGCTTCATAATTTCCCAACCCTCTCTCTCCCTCTCCCTCCCTCCCTCCCTCCCTACCCCTCCTTCCCTCCCTCCTTCCCCCCTTCCTCTACCTCCTCCCCTGCCCCTGCTTTCTCTCTTTATCTCTTCTCTGTCTTTTTGTCCTCAAAGGAAATGACATTGTGCAACTGATTTTCCTCCAAAATGCAAATGGTTCCTGGCATCTGAATGAAGATCTGGCCCAGGTCTTAGGTATGAACTTGGAAGACATAAAGGCTGCACACCCTACCAAGGTGAGATATAAAGGAAAATGAAGGTATATGTATGTTTTTGATGCAGTGAAGTTGGTAATGACAATTGGGGTGAGTTGGAGCCCACCTACATAAGAAGAACATAGAAGGGACGTAGGCTAAGTTAATTTCTAATAAGTAGGCATTGAAAGTTTTTCTGGTTTTGTTAGAGTCAAGAGAACAAAGAATTAACAAGCCAGGTAGTTGGAGTTTGAATTAGTTGATAGATGAGAAAGAGAAAAGAACACTCTTCTATTTAGTCGGGTGTGGTGGCACACACCTGTAATCCTTGCACTTGGAAGGTTGAGGCAGGAGGATCGCTGTGAGTTCGAGGCCAGCATGGGCTACATAGTGACTTTAGGGCCAGCTTGAACTATGAACGGAGACCTTGCCTCAAAAAAAAAAAAAGAATACTCTTCTATTTTAATCATATAAATGGCCAATCATCTGAGTTGTAAAACTAAACATTTGTGAGATATTTCCATGTGTCAGACACTGTGCTAACTGGTTTACGTGCATGATCTTATTTATTCTTTACTTCAGTTAAATAAGGTCAGTTCTACTCATGTTGCTGTGTAGGAGATGAAAAAACTGAAACCTGAAAGTTTAATAAAATATCTGAGTCAGTCAGGTGGAGATGGAGTCAGTGCTAAGACTTTCTGCAAAACCTCCAGTAATAACCTCGTTGCTTCCCTTCATACGAAAGGAGGTGGTACAGACTGTAAAACAATTAATTGAAGTCAGGATGGGTAAAGTGATAACACAAGCCATTTAGTTATGTGAAATTTATTTAAATATGATTATACGGACAAATTACATTCAGAAGCATAAGGAAATTCGCTAAGTCTTCTAAGCCTCCTTGAGAAATTGTTACATAAGAGACAGATGTTGAAAGTATGAAGGTTAAATGTTAGTCTAAAATTTGAAAATGTAGATGACAATAATAAATCTCAGATATTGCATAGACTTTGAAATGTGGCTGATGCAAGTGAGGGACAAAACTGTTTGAAGGTGTGCCATGCTGTGATTAATTTCAAAGGCTTATATGAAAGGAATGGAAAATAACTTGTGAATAATTATTTTTTATTGATCACATGTTAAAATTATGATTTTTAAAATTTTATTGGGTTAAATAAAAATAGCATGGAGTATAGCTCACTGATAGAGCACATAGCATAAGAGGAGCTTTGGGTTCAATCTCCAGAACCAAAAATAAAATAAAATATAATGAAAAAATAAAATAATTGGGCCTGTTTAGTTTCACTTTTTTAATATAGCTACTAGAAAATTTAATACATATATATCTAGCAATGTCGTTTTATTGGCAAATGCTGTTTTAGAACAAATAATTAAAAGGATAGTTGACAAGTACTAGGAAGATGACATAAGCATTGTGGAGTAGTTACAGCTTATATTTACCAAGCACAATACAAGTTGGGTTGACATGTCCTTCTTTGGCTTGCTAACCAGGCCAACAGTTTGAGATAAACAAGAGTTGGTGGATCCAACCTTTAGTAGGAGATTTGATTCTTTAAATGATGAATACTGGACTAAGTACAAACTAGTTGAAAACTCATAGTTCAAATTTTTAGTAGTTTGTATTTTCAATGAAGATCTGGACAAAGATGGAGAAACAAGTTTTCTTATTTGTACATGACAAAACTGGGATTTATAGTATTGGACAAGACAATCAGAATGCCCAAATCTTTTGAACAATTAATTAAAATTTTTCAAGAAACACCAATAGCAAGAAAAGTGTAGTAGAAATAAAAATTAAATTCTGCCTTTGGTTTGAAATTCTCAACTATATAAGTAAAAAAGAGAAGCAAAGATTGAGTTGCAATTATATATGAAAATCAGTAGTTTCATAGGCAATATTTTGAATATTTTCATATTCAAACCAATTTGAATCATAATGTTTGAACGTCATTAGTAGTGGTGATGAACTTTCTGAAAACTTTCTGTTGCATTCTTAGTCTGTGGATGTGGAATTTCATAAATATATTTGCTTCCAGATATGGCCATTCCACGAACTCTATTTTAAAAATCACTGTGATAATTCTTTTGAGACTTTAAGCGTGGGGATTCTTACGTCTTTGACATAAAGGAATTTTGGTCTGAAATGAGAGTACTAGGAGAGGAAATGACAGGTGCAGTTTCCACATTTTAAAAGTCATGATATAAGAGAGGAATGTCCTTTGATTTACTAAATCAAAAAACCAGAGCTTTAGAAAACAGTTGGTGAACACTCACACAGTGATTTTTCTACTCTCTGGCTGAAATTTTCTATTCAGCAATAAAACTAGAATCAGAATGTTTACTATTCAGTCATGCCCTGGTGGTTATATGGAGTTTGACAATTAAGTCCTTCTTAAGCCTAACACTGAATGGATCATTGCCCTGGGGTTCACAGTCTGACATTATCTTACGCAAGTAGTAGAAGTAAGTGGAAATAGAGAAGTTAATTCTATCTAGACATAGTTTATGGATGGCAAGTGAGCAGGGAGTGAAGCACTTTGTATACTTGCTGGGCTTCCTGCCCAGCTTGGAGGCCTCAAAGACATCTCAATCTTTTGTGCAGCATGTGGTGGACTCCTCAGTCTGGGCCACAGTCCTTGCTGTGGTCTGGCTGCATACCAATGGGATGGACCGGGAGAGTGAGTGGGATCTTCTGGAAAGAAAGGCCAGGGCCTGGATTCACACCCATGCAGGTAGGAGCTCCATCTCAGGATCCCTCCCTTACCTTCTTAGGAAGTTGGATATGTTCCCAGGTGCTGCACCTCTAGGCCTGGTAATGGGTAACAATGAGAGTCCCCACAGCCATTCCTACCACATCCTGGTTCAGACTCTGGTCTCCAGCTAGTCTTCTTCCCATCAGGGTGGGGTGAAATCTTTAATGGGACAGAAGGAGGACTAAGTAAAGAAGGAAGGGAACATAAATCATGAGTACGAAGTGTTAAATTGGAAGCACATAAAATGATACCTACTTTCCTGCTGCTCTCAGTGCTAACACTGAGCTTGAAACACTTAGTCTTTGGGTGTGTATCATCTCACTGCTGCTGACTTTTTATGAAACCAGAGAATACTAAAGGAGAATCTGAGTATGGAGAAGAGAAATATTGCGACATTGAGGAAAGATAAAGCAGGATGGAGGGGACATCATCAGGGAGAATGGGAGAAGAGCATTCTTTTATTTGTGGTCCCTCATCCTGATTCCTGTTTTCTGTCATCATAGGCTCTGCCACACACAAGATTGTGAAAGCAGCTAATGCACTCTTGAAGTCTTCTGTGGATCCTGCTATCTTTACCCTCTGAGAATACCACTCAAAAAAGAAGTGCTTCTCTTTGATTGCCCACTTCCTGTACCATCTCTTGTACTATAATATGTTTTTGTGTTTTATACTTTTCTTTTGTATTGCTTGCCATAAAAGTAAAGGATGTCCACACTGCCTGCCTCACTCTTGCAGGTACCTTTAGATGTCATCTTTTCCCCCCAATATGTCCCTTCACAAAAGTGATGGTAGTTTCTAAACCTGTTCTCTTTTTTGTAGTTAAAAGCATTCCTATTCAGTAATATTTCTCCTAGATTTTCCAGAGTGATGTCATAAAAGCCAAGTTATAGAGGCTCCAGATTAAGGATTTCTGCTTTGATGTTAGAGCGTGCCTGACATAGAGAAATTGCTACATTGCATCTATCTATTCACCATTTTCTCATTCTAGGGTGCTGGAAATTGAGCCCAAGACCTTAGATATCCCAGGCAAGACCTCTACCTGTGAGCTACATCTCTAAAGTTTCTATTTAGTTTTGGGTGAAACTTGAAATTTTCCATCCTAGAAGGAAGATTTAAAAAGTTGAAAGCCAACACAAGGCCAGTAATCACCAAGATCACAAAGAAAGAGACTCAAGTGGCCCCCTTAGATATTAGCACCATTGTGAATCTTCTCGATTATTTCTGCTTAAACTTTGTTAGCTTATTCCTCATGCCTTCTTGCCACTACCTATGCAACTTGAGTTGAGCTGTACTCGTGGGAGATTAATGTTTTTTCTTATTCATCAGTTGTCCTGTTAGAGACCGATTATGGCATCCTTGGACTTAGCCTGAACCTATGTGGACTCCAGGCTCTGTTGTAATAAAGAAAAGAAAGAACAGTCTATGCCTGAGATCTGAACTAGGATTGCCAATCACATGAGGAAGAATGGAGCTGCCCATGATTGCTTCTAACCCTTACGTCTTACGTGCCCTACCTTCGTGGAAATGACCCTACTTGATGAATTGTCCCTGAAAATCACTATTATATAAATTTTAAAATGATTATTTCTATATTTACTTGGTTGTATCTTATCTTTCATTAATTCTGTCATTGGACCTATAATAGTTTCATTATCTTTTTTGTTTTGTCCCAACTTTTTTTGATGTGTCCATTATTTACTCTGTATAGTGTCCCCATGTCCCCTGTTGTAGGCTGATTTACTGTCTTATATAAAGCAAGCAAAGGGCATGGGTTTAGTCATGTTTAGTATTCCAATTATACCTTAGATATGTGATAATAAGCAAATGATTTAACCCCTTAAGAGCTTAATATTGATATCTATAGGATGCTTATTATTTTTAGCTTGACTATTCTAGAATTCAGACCAGGACCTCAGTAACTCTCACTCTATTAGAATACAGTCTATGTCAAACTTCCTTATAGCTGTCGTAGAAACCAACATTAAGAAGACTTGTGTGATTTATAAGTCTGATATTTCTGAACTTTCTCCTTTGTTTGTATAAGGGTGAATGTGACTTGTGGAACAGGGCTGTAGCATCACCTCGATGCTAGTTAGAAATTGTAAAATTTCAGGCAATGCCAAGAATGAACTGTACTGAAGTTATCATTTTAATAATTTCTATGTAGCTTTTATACAAATTAAGGTTTGAGAAATGTTTAGTATTTTCATGTAGTTGGCTTGTATCCAAGTCTGTCATCTAAATATCCCTTATGTATGAACTATCAGACTACGAAACCTGGACATAACATTGAAACTTGTAAAAATTCTCTCTGCATACAAAAATATGACAACTTGCAACAATAACACAAGAATTTATAACTGCATTTGCTGTTCACCTTTACTTTTCTTGCCAGTTGAAAGTATGGGCAGCAAAGATTATTAATGTAAGGAGAGAGTGGAGTAGATCGCGTACTCAACAGTGAGACACCATGGAACGAAATCCAGTAGCTATTGCTTGATGAAAAAAAAAAACCCCTCTAAGAATTATTGGACTAAAGGACAGAATAGAAGATGACTCATAAGGCATAAACATTTTTATTCACTGATTTTGTAGCAGAAAATTTAGGAAAAAATTTAGTTTTCATGTAAACAAGGCACACAGAACCCAAATAGCCATGGCCAAAATGAGAGCATTTCCATGACACGTCATACTCAAAATTCCAAAAATTCACTGCAGAGAAAGGATACAAAAAGGTGTTAGAGAAAAACAACAATTAATCTCTAATCTATAAAAAAGACATGCTAATTAAAACAGGTGTGTTTTCATGACATATCTTAAAGACTGGGAATGTGGGGAGTGAACTTTTCCAAGCCTTAAAAGAAAATAACTTTGTTGTTAAAAATTATCTTTTGAAATAGAGAAATAGAAGAAACGCTAAAAAAGTTCATGACAATAAGCCAACATTGAAGATTACTTAAAGGACTGAGACAGGAAGACCATCAGTGCCAATAAACTCAAAGGAAACCACATCTAAATGAAAGAGTACTTGATCCAAAGGAAAAAATAATAATCAACACTGAAAATACAATGCAATGACTAAATCCATTAAATACCTCACAGTGATAACTCAATGTTAATGGTCATAACTGACGAGTCAAAAGCCAAAGACTGACAGAAGAAAACAGGAAAGTAAATTTAAAAGTTCCTACAATTGAATGACAATGAAAATGTAACATACCAAAACCTATGGGACACAATGAAAGTAGTTCTAAGAGAGAAGTTTATAGCAATGTATATTCACATTAAAAGAATAGAGCAGTCCCAAAGAAATAATGATTACATTAAATTAGGACCTTTTCAAGGTCCTAGAAAAATAAGAATATCTAAATTTAATAAAGGGAAGAAATTTAAAAAATCACAGCAAAATGAAATTTAGATTTAAAAAATCAACATATAGAACAAGTTTCTTTAAAAAGATAACTTCATCTAATTTGCTATAAGGAGGAAAAAAGACCCATCTCCATGCATATTCATGCAGTTAAAAGTGAAAAAAACAAATCACAAAGGATACTGTTGAAATCTAGAGGCTTGTAAGAAATGATTTCAAAACTTATGTTCCAATAAATTGCAGAAAATAAGAACTATAGGTATATTCCTAGACAAATATGAATTACCAAAAATGAATCAAGAAGATGTAAAATTCTGAATATATAAATAATAGTGAAATAGAGACAGCAATAAAAACCATACCAACCATACCAAAAGCATAGCACCCAGTGGACCCTTTACTAGAACTAGGGCCACAGATCTTTACTAGAACTTCATGGTCTAATACAAATATTTATCAAACTCATTCATGAAATTTAAAGGGAAAGAATAGCGATGCAAGGATGGTTCAATGTACATGAAGCAATAAATGTAACGTACCACATATTTAAAAATGACATGATCATCTCAATAGATGCAGAAAACCCCTTTGACTAGATCAAACTTTCAGTCATGATAAAAACTCTGTCATAAAGAGGGGTAGAAAAACCTTACCCAAAACTGATAAGAGCCACTCATAACAAACCTGTGGCCAAAATTATTTGAACAGGAGACAAACAAAACATTCTCACTAAAATTAGGAACAGTACAAGGATATCCACTCTCAGCACTCTTGTTCAATACTATACTTGAAAATTTATCCAGACTAATCAAGAAAGAGAAAGAAATAAAATTATATGAAAAAGAAAAGAAATACTTATTTTTAGATAATGTGGCACTTTACATTGAAGATCCTAAAAAACTCCATCAGTAGACTCTTAGAATTAATTAAAAATTCAACAGTGTCAGAATACAAAATCAAAACACAAAAAGTCAGTAGTGTTTCTGTATACCAATAATCCGCTGAGAGTAAGAATTAATGTAAATAATCTCATTCACAGTAATTAAAAAAAAACTTCAATACATAGGCATTAACCTAACCAAGGAAGTGAAACACTGCTATACCAAAAACCACAGTATTCTGAAAAAGGAGATTGGAAAGCACTTTAGAAAATGGGAAAACATCCCCTTTCCTAGATTGGCACAACTAATATGGTCATAATGTCCCTATTATTAAAATGGTATCAAAATAATATGGAGATATAACGCAATTCTTGTCAAAGCACCATCAGATTTTTTTCACAGAACTAGAAAAAAATTCAAAAATTTATATACTACAAGATATTATTCAGAATAGCAAAATAAATTTTGAAGAACAAAACCAGATGGACACATTAATCCAAGATCCAAGTTATTATACCAAGATACAGTAATAAAAACAATATTACTGGTGTGCAAAATGACATGTTGATCAATGGAATAAAATGGAGTATATAGAAACAGCCTCCAGACACCCACCTTAGTCATCTGATTTTTGATAAATGGGTCATAACACTGGAGAAAAGACAGCTTCTTTAATAAATGATACTGGGAAAACTAGTTATTCACATGCAGAGGAAATAATCTACACTCATGTCTCTCACCCTGTACTAAAATAAAATCAGAATTGATAAAAATTATCTAGCTATTAAAACAGAAACACTACATCTTCTGGAAGTAAAAACACATAAAACTCTTAAAAGATAAATGGATAGGATAGGATTTTTTTTTACAGAATCCCAATTGCACATGAAATAACACCATGAATTACCAAAAGAGATTTTATACAATAAATAAAATTAAAATCTTCTGCATAGCAAAGGAAACAACCAAGAGAGTGAAGAAACAACCTGAAGAATGGGAAAAATTTTGCCAGCTACTATTTGAACAGAAGGCTAATATCTAGAAAATAAGAAGAGCTTAAAAAATAATAAAAGATCCAATCAAGAATGGGCAGGCAGTTTTAAATAAATATACTTCTCAAAAGCACAAATACAAATGGCCAATCAATAAATTCCAGAAAAAAATGTTCAGCACCTTTGGCCACTAACTGAAATGAAATCCAATGAGTACAGAGATGACATCTTACTCCAGAAAAAATGGACAAAAAAACAATAAACAAATGAAACTAGTGAAGTTGTTGGGGAAAGGAACACTTCTGCAGTGTTGGTGAGAATTTAAACTAATCAACCACTGTAGAAATCAATATGAACATTTCTTAGAAATCTGAAAATAGAAATTCCATTTCACTAAGTTATAACTTTTGTGGGTATCTTCCTGCAATTTTTAAGTACTGTACATTATATTACAGTGGTACATGCATATGCATATTTATAGAAGCACAATACATAATAGCTAAACTTTGGAAGCAGTTTATATGTCCATAAACAAATGAATGAGTCAGGAAAATATGTTATATACACTATGGACCACTACTCTGCCATAAAGGATACCTTTTAATTGTTGTTGGAAACATGGATGCATCTCTAGACCACAATGTTAAATGAAATAAATCACATGCAGAAAGTTAAGTATTGCATCGTTTCTCTTCTATGAAAATAAAAACTATAAATAAAGAGCAGAAGATGAGATGATAGGAAACTGGGAGTAGACTTTGTGAGGAAGGAAAAGGAATGGAAGGAAGTAGCAGTGCCCAGAAGGGAAATGGAAATAAAAAAGATTAAGTTATGGTATGCATATGTTGTATATATCCAATTTCCAAAGATAAATACATTTGCATTACAAATATATACCATTAAATATCCCATAATAAATCCTTCCCTTTGTAAATGTGCTGGCATAAATCTTCCTAGAAAAGTCTCAGATTTGGCCTATTCTTCTAAGCAGACTACAAGACCCAACTTCCATGACACCAGGAGATCAAGGTTTTCAAGATGAGTAAAACATTAGTAAGCAATGGATATAGAAGATATGGTTGAACATCCCAGGGAAAGCAAAGACCTATTCAAAACAGATGAATGTGTGTATAGATAGATACACATGGATAATCTTAACCATGCAAGAAGCAGTTATCTCTCCTGTGCCTTGTCTACTCCTTCTGATTCAGGGACTGGTTCAGTGTTGTAATATGCTGTTATTATCTTAGTTCTATCCAAGCAAGTTGTAGGCTTTGACAGTGGAGAGGAGATCAGCATGAGGGACTGTTTAGGAGTTAGGGCTTTCCAGGAGTTCATCATTCCCATCTCTCTCCAGCAAAAATACAGGAAATATGTGTTTCATAGGTCTTAGTTTTATTTCTTGTTTTACTCTTTTGTTAAGTGAATCACATCTCTTTCACAGAAACCACTAAAATTCCAGGAAGCCAGGAACTTCATTTCACCAAGAGGGAAGAAAAGAAAGGAGACATGATAGGGAAAAGAAAAACACAATCAAGGAATTTGTCAACTCTATTGTTACATTTTTGGGTTACAGTCCAATTCCTGTCTACTGCTGCTGTGGATAAAAAAGTAAATTGTGCCTAGGAATTCACCCCAAACCCTTTTCTTGCCAGTAAACAATAAAGCACATGTCATTGGTTCAAGAATGCTCAGAAAAAAAACTTAGCATTTTTAACCAGCTTTTCCTGCAACAGTCCAGTGACTAGCTTGAATATCTGGTCTAGAGAATAAGGAATTAAATGAGTTAGGTTCATTTCTGTGATTGAAATAAGAATAATGCAAGTATAATGCAAAATAATCTGCAAGTTATGTAATTTCTTTAGAGATCGCCTGAGAAATATCTATTAAACTTTTTGGGAGACTTTACCTCCATGAATAGAACATGAGCTAACAAATCTCAACCCTGCACCACCCTGTGGCTGACTCTTTGAGACCATAGCATGGTTTGGTCAGGGAATGCATAATAGCAACAGTAATTGCTACATGAGTATACAGAAGCTTGTTCAAATTTCTCAAATAAATCTGTTAATAATACTCTGCTGTCACGAGAACAGCTGCTTTCTTTCTGGGATCATTTTAGGAATCAGTGTTGATGTAGTATAAAGTAAGCTAAACTTGGGACTGCCTGGCCTCTTCTACCATATACCTTTAGGAAAGCCACAGTGCTCTGAGCTCTAATGTCCTTCATTTATAGAACAAGGTTAAGATACTGCACTTGAAAGAAGTATTCAAATAAAATGAAAGTACACTAGCATCAGAGGTGACATAATGTGAGAATTGGAACCTACTTTGCCATGCAAACAATCTTTGAGGAACTTGTTTCCCACTTCAGGTTATTCTTTTCTGATGATATCATGACTATTCCTTCGTGATGGGATGAAGATGAGGTTGATGAACTAATTGTTCCCTCAGAGATATCACTGAGCTCCAACCACAGCTTAAGAATATCTGAAGTATACATCCATGAAAGCATTCCAGGGAGAGTACATGTGTACTGATTTTGCTTGCACAAATCCCAAGGCGCTGGATTATTTATAAGGAGGGAATGAAGTCTCTTGGATGGAGCACGCTGTGCTCTGCTCAGAAGCAGTAAATGTGAAGTCTTGACATTAACTTGGGAAACCTTGATAACGTTCTCAACTGGACTCCGAGTATTCAAACTGCTGCCCTTGTCTGACTGCTGGCCTTTGCCCCCTTCACACTAACAAGTCCATGTATATGGTCCCTCCTGGTTCTTGGGGACTTCCTTTATCTGACATGGACTTTGAGTTAAATGAAACCGTAGAATCACAGACTTTCACAATGTCTGCACAAAGGCAAGGACCAGAGACATGGGGTTTTGCTGACCAAGGAGAGTAGATGAAAAACTCATGGAAATTTGTTCAAAGAGACTACTCAGGTATTGATAACAGGGGTCAATAACCACTCCTATCCTAGAATGATTGTTTCTGTCTTTACAGTTTTCATTTTTTTTTACCTAATTGTGTGATGTGGTATAGGTTGACATGCTGTCCTGGTCATGTTTTTAGAGATGTTTTTCATTGACACTTGCTAAAGTTTCTGATTAGAATCCTCATGTTTAATGTGGCTGCATGAATTGAAAGTTTCTGTACTAAAGTTCACACAAAGATCTAGTGTCTGAAGGGAGAAAACCCTGTTGCATGATTCCTAAAACTAAATGAGATTTTTAATAAATGTGTTCTAAATCCAGGACTGCACATGTGCAGGTAATTTTAACTACAATAATTAATCAGTGCCAAAGTGAAGATTCACATTAATTATTTTGATTTCTAATACAAATTTTTCTCTTATTTTGCAGATGGTAATGAATAGTGGGAGTTTGTTGCTGAAAGAGATTATAAGAGGTCAAAATACAAATGTATTAAAAGACAATAAAAGGAGGCAAAAAGTTTTCTAACAAGAAGTGCTTTAAAAATATCTCTAAACTTCTGATCTCATCATGGAAGCTTTTATGAAACTATTTCCAAGCATTGGATAAACTATGAATTCTGAACTAGGTATTTTGTATATAAGTCTTGGTCTTCCCCTTCATACAAATAATATAGGCTGCTGTCATTAAAGCACTCATCAGCAAGAAGCTTAACTTGATACTGGTGTCCGGATTTGGAAGTCTTGGCTCTGTTTTCTATGTCAGACTTTCTCTTAAGTATGAGGAATCGCTCAGTGGTGACTGAATTTATCCTGCTGGGCATCCCACACACAGAGGGTCTGGAGACCATGCTATTTGCCTTGTTTCTGTCCTTCTATATCTTCACCCTTATAGGGAACCTGCTCATACTTCTGGCAATCGTCTCCTCCACTCGGCTTCACACTCCCATGTACTTCTTTCTGTGCAAGCTATCTGTATGTGACATATTTTTCCCTTCTGTGAGTTCCCCCAAGATGCTGTTCTACCTCTCAGGGAACAGCCGAGCCATCTCCTATGGAGGATGTGTGTCCCAGCTCTTCTTCTACCATTTCCTGGGCTGCACCGAGTGCTTCCTGTACACAGTGATGGCCTATGACCGCTTTGTTGCCATCTGTCACCCTCTGCGCTACACAATAATCATGAGCCACAGAGTATGCACCATCTTGGCCACAGGGACCTCATTTTTTGGCTGTATTCAGGCCACCTTTCTCACTACTCTCACATTCCAGTTGCCATTCTGTGGCCCGAGGGAGGTGGACTATTACTTCTGTGATATCCCAGTGATGCTCAAGCTGGCCTGTGCAGACACCGCAGCCCTGGAGATGGTGGGGTTCATCAGTGTGGGTCTCATGCCCCTCAGCTGCTTCCTTCTTATTCTCACGTCCTACAGCTGCATTGTCTGCTCCATTCTTCAGATACGTTCTGCTGAGGGCCGACGTCATGCCTTCTCCACCTGCAGTGCCCACCTCACTGCCATTCTCCTTTTCTACATGCCTGTTGTCCTTATCTACTTAAGGCCAACCCCAAGCCCCTGGTTGGATGCAACTGTTCAGGTCCTGAACAACCTGGTCACTCCCATGCTAAACCCCTTGATCTATAGCCTCAGGAATAAGGAAGTGAAATTATCACTGAGAAATGTGCTACATCATCTGGGCTTCCTTCCTGAGAAGTTTTAGAGAGAGATATCAGTGACTTACACTTCACACTTTACAGCTGACAAAATACTTTCAGTTCGTTCTCCTAAATATTTAATAATTTGAGAGCACAAATAGTATTATTTCTACTTTATGACATGAGGACTGAGATGCTCACTGTTAGTGTGGTTTGTACAGGGACCTATCAGGAACACATGGCAAAGTAAAGACTACAGAGATCATTTTCTGCAATGGATCACTGTTTTCTTGTAGACATCTACTGAATGAGCGAGAACAGGAAAATGGGCAGAGCAACCTTAACTTTCTTTCTCTCAGGTTTTATTTTCTTCACCCTCTTTCATTGCTCCTCCTATTCCCTCTCCCTCTGGCGCTTTTTCATCTTGGCTGTAGTGATGGCCTCTTCAGCATCTGCATTGGCTATGCCATCGTTTTACGGTTTGAAAGGTTGTTGAAAGAGTGAGAGAAGCACAGCCCCATGACTTCCAATAGCATCCTGTTACTTTTGAACCACAAAGAGATTGGATGAAGAGAAAAACTTCTGGGTATAATGTGAGATAAGTCCTAAGTTTGTAGTGCAGAGGTATAAGTGTGCTGTATTCCTTTCAAACCCTGTCTGCTGTATTTAGACCTGAAAACCGGTTTGGGCTGTGAACATGAAGCATGGAGTTGAGAAGAAAGAATAGATGGAGGGAATCCAGTGGGAGGAGACTGTGCTATAATTTCATGTCTTGTCTTTGTCATACTCAGCAAAATCAGAACAAAATATAGGGTTTCAAACTATTCTTCTTTTGTGTCTTTGACTTCTTTGCTTACTGAAATAATTTCACCTTTGCTTTACCTTTGTGTACTTTTTTGATTTTTTTGGGCTGAAATATGGTAAAAGCAGTAAATACTCCATTTCAATCCAGTGAACTAGCATTTTCATAACAGTTTATTAGGAATCCTAACATGCTTGGGAATAGAGCTGTTATGAAGTTTGTTCTAAGAATTACCTAGAGAGTAAGAAGATTTAGGAAGAAGTAGATGAAAGAAAAGGAGGAAGAAACAGAGACAGGTGTTTTTCTTCTATCTCTTTGCCTCAGAATCTGAGAGATGCTGGAAGCTCATGTGATTTCAGATAAAGCCTGAATTCTGTTTCTACCAGAGCAGGAACCCAGAGTGCCAAGCACAGCCTGAGTTGGGTTTCATTGTTGGATAACATTTTTATGGGGTCTACAATTAAAAGGGAAGCCTAAGAACCTCCAGAATCCATCCAGCAGAACATTTTATCCATAGTGACCATCATTACAAAGATTCAATTCTTAAGCCCATGGAGTCCAGAGAATAATATTAAAACAGAGATTCAGAGGACAGCTGTGAGCTGAACCAGCTGTTGCTGCAGCATTTTCTTCGACACATGCTTTGAGAGTGATCTAAGAGATATCCAACACCTACGCTATATGGATCCAGTTTTTAAAAATATTATTTATCCACCTAAACAATTTCTACAACATACCAGTATACATTCCAGTCACATTTTCCTGCTTCCTCCTACCTAAATTTGTTACAGAATCAGCACCTGTTCTGAATTTCATCAATGGATTAATTTTACCTAGAGCCCAGAGTGAAACTCATCTATGAAGAGAAGTGATGTGGGCACTAAAAGCAAAGCTGAGATGATGGCCACCTACATACAGTAACAGGATTGTGCAGAGAAGTTTTCAGAGGAATTTTCTCAGTGCCCAAGTCCTGTTCTCCTTATTTCCTGCTTTCCCTGGGACCCTAATGATTTGTTCTAAATGAAATTAACTGAAATTCACCATTAATAAATAAGAAATTAATGTCATTAATGTCACTCAGTTTGGAATTTTGAGAGGTCAAGAATACTGAGTTGCTTGTACAAAAATACCAATTTCAGCTTGTTCGAGACCAGATAATGAGAATCAAGGCCTAATCGACCTTCTCTGGGAGCACAAAAGAAAACAAGGGCAAGCTGTGCCTCCTTTGACAACATGCAGGCACAGTCGCACATTGGAAGTTGCATGGAAGAGTCAGTACAGGTGAGACCTGGAGGTTTACCTGGGCATATGTCATGGATAACAGTAGGCAGATGAATCTTATATTAATCTAATTGTTTGTTCCCATGTCTGGGTGAATAAAAGTGAGGTGATCCAAACTCTCAGAGCTCTTTGTCCACAGAAGCAAAGAACCCCCTGGCTCCCTCATTGCAAATTATGTTTGTGTCTTTTGTCTTTGATCCTCCTGCATCCCCCAGTTGAAGATAAACTCATAGGCTGGTTCTTACACGAGCTAAGAGAAAAGCATTATTATATTACTCTGTGCTCTACACATTTACTACAAGGGGGCAATAATAATTTAGTAGTTGAGAAACAGTTTAGCCTGTAAGTTGCTATTAATTTGTATTCCAGTATTTTAAAAATATTTTCTCAATTATGTCCTACAGTAATTCAGCTGTCTCAAATTCAGATCCCCAGTGCCAGTAGGGCCTGCTGGGCCATGCCCTCCCCTGCCGGCACTACTGCAGCCATCTCCAGGTCCAGGAAGGTAGGCTTGCAGGAGCCCCTATAACCCCCCCCCACAATTTCATACCTCCTGATTGTGCTAGTCTTTAGATCTACTCTGTAGAGGCAGAGGTGGTCATAAAGGGTATTTTCCTGCATTCCCAACTTTGAACATTTTTAAAGAAGGAACAGGGGAAACCTGTAATAGAACTGAGTGGAGTTTAACACTTCAGGAGGTCAGGGAACTCAATGTGTGCCTTGTAGCCTGAGGTCAGTCTGCATTGTGGGGTTCTGCAATCAGCTAGCTGAGATCAGGGGACTTGGATCTGCACATGGCAGTGCATGTTGTATATTATGACAGCAGTGACATAGTCTGAAAGAGGTCCTTTAAACTCATTTTTTTTCATTCTACTCTGCAAATTCTTTCTTTTTTTTTCTGTCCTCTTTCTCCAACTCAGTCTCTTGCTCCACCATGTTATGCCTCATCTGCCCTTCTGTTTCTGCTCCTGTCCTACTTCAGATTTCTTCTTTTATCCTTTTTTCTCTTTCCTTTATGTTCTTTTCTTATGTTATTTTACCTCACTCAAGGGTCATTATATTTCTATTCTGTTCATCCCTTTTGAATTTAACAGTTTCCTGATGATTGTGGGCTCATTCTACTTCTTCTGGCTTCATGTGAAACCTTCTCCAATTCTTTTACTTATCTACTCCTCTCATCCTAACTCTGTTTTAAGCCCCCATCCTAAATGGTAAATATCATTATTCAAAAGTTTATTCACTGCAAACATATTTTGGATTGCATCTTGATTTTAATTTAATTCACAAGGTTTAAATGTGATAGACTAATGATTACCACAAGTGGTCAGTTTGCAAGTTGTGCTTGATCATATTGTAGTGCTGATTGTATTAATTAGGATAAAGGATTGTGATTGATCCAATGAGCTGTTTTCTTTTGTATTATGAAAATGAGAATGGTTATGAGTCATTAGAGATCCAAGGGCTAAAGCCCAATTATATCAAGAAGATTTAAGTAATAATCCCAAAATTAAACCAAGGACAACCCAACAACAATAGTAAAAATGAGAAAATACTTAAGCAAGACACAAACACAGACTTCCAGTTCACCAATGTCAAACAGTAGGGCAAATGAGGATGAAAAGTCTGATGGTGAACTGTCAGGACACTCTGAATTCAAAGCCCAGGAAGTAACAAAACAGATCAATCAGGCTCCAGGAAAATTCAAAACAGAAATAATTTCCCAGATATTCATAGAGATGACGAGCAAAATGAAAGTTATAATCTGAGACTCTAGAACAGAAACTGAGAAAAAAAAAAAAAAGATGAGCTCAGAACCACGATAGGAGCCATGAAGGCCCAGCATAAGAAAGAATTGGAAACAATAAATGCCCAATATAAGAAAGAAATGGAATCCAGATCTCCAGGAGATTAAAAACTCCACTGGAAGTGTTTGCAATCGAATAAAAGAATCCAAAGATAGAATCTCAGACATAGAAGATAAAATTGCAGTCAGTGACAGTGAAAAGAGAGGTCTCTTAAAAACAGTAGGGGATCATGAGAAATTGACCCAAAAACACTTAGACGATGCTAAGAAGAATAACATAAGACTGATAGGAATTCAAGAAGTAGCAGGAGAAAATGCAAATGACCTAAAAAAGCTCTTCACAGAATTAATGACAGAAAACTTCCCAAACAGAGGGGAAGAATTTGACATACAGATAAGTGAGGCATATAGGACTCCAACTAGCCATGATAAACAAAACAAAACAGAACAAAACAAACAACAACAAAAAAACAAAAATACTACAACTAGACATATAATAATGAAGATCCCAGAAACCCAATAGAACAAAATACTACAAGCAGTAAGAGAAAAGAAACAAATCACATACAAAGGAAAGCCCATTGGAATCACAGCAGACTTTTCAACACAAACCCTTAGGTTAAGGAGAACCTGGAGTGAGCTATTTCAAGTACTAAAAGAAAACAACCTCCAACCTAGACTGATGTATCTTGCAAAACTTTCTTTCAAAATGGATGGGGAAATAATATACTTCCATGACAAAGAACACCTGAGAAACTTCATGAATGTCAGACCAGCACTACAAGGAATTCTAAACAATATCCTAGAAAAAGACAATGAAGGTAACAACATAATAAGGCCCAACGGAGCAAATCAAATAGGTAAACTAAGAAACTAAAAGGAGAAGGTGAAAAAAACATGATAATGATAAGTTAGTACATATCAGTTATAACCATCAATATCAATGGCCTCAACTCATCAATCAAGAGAAATAGGCTGGCAGAATGGATTAAGAAGCAAAATCCAATAATATGTTGTATACAAGAAACACACCTAGTGCAAAAATAAGCCCATAGACTGAAAGTTAAAGTATGGATAACAATTCTTCATGCAACAGGAGTCCAGAAAAAAGTAGGGGTATCAATCTTCTTTGCAGACAAAGTAAATTTCAAACCTAAACTGATTAAAAGAGACAAAGA